AAACCAGCTACGGCTGCCTCTATATTTTTGAGTTCTCTTTTCTGTTTTCCTTTCACCCACTGGACCTTCAGGCATGTGTTGTTTAATTTGAACATATCTGTGAATTTTCCAGCTTTCTTGAAACTAAAATTTTCTAGTTTCATACATTGTGGTTAGATAAGATACTTGTGATTTCTTCTCAGAGTTTGATACTGTTTTCTGACCTAACACATGATCTACTTAGAGAATGTTTCATGTGCGATTGACAAGAATGGGTCTCCTGCTGCACTTGGATGGAATGTTCTGCATATTTCTTAGTTCTCTTTTCTCTGGAGTCTAATCAGACTTCAATTATTCCTTATTGCTTTGGATGGGATGTTGTTAAAGGAGTGATGTTGAAGTTGCCAGCTAATATTGTGGGTTTTTTTTTACTGCCTTCAGATTTGATATTAGTTGCTTAATATCATTTCTTATTCTGTTGTTTAGTGAATAATATTTCAAATTGTTATGCTTTTGATGGATTGATTGATATACATCATTTTATGCATTCCTTACTCTGTTTTTTAGTGAATAATACTTCAAATTGTTATCCTTTTGATGAATTGACTGATACATCATTTTATGATGAACTTTGTTTCTTGTGATACATTTTTTGAGGAGACCTGTTTTGTCTCATAAAATTTTCACGTCCCCTGCCTGTGATACATTTTTTGAGGAGACCTGTTTTGTCTGGTAGAATTTTCACGTCTCCTGCCCGGTTTTGGTTTCATTTGCATGGCATATTTTTTTCATCTCTTTATTTTCAACCTATTTGGGTCCATAAAGGTTTAGTGCCTGTTCTATTTAGCCTATATTGCATCCGGTTTCCCTTTTTTTTAATCCCTTCAATGACTCTCTGCATTTTGAATGAGGAATTTGTTTTTTTTTTCCTCTCTTTATTTTCAGCCTATTTGGGTCCATAAAGGTTTAGTGCCTCTTGTATTCAGCGTATATTGCATCCAGTTTCTCTTTTTTTAATCCCTTCAGTGACTCTCTGCATTTTGAATGAGGAATTTTTTATGGAGCAGCTATTGCCACTTCTACATCCTTTCTGGCTCTTTTGTAGTTCCTTTGTTTGTCTTCCTGTCTTATGGTCGTCCTTTGTGATTTGATGATTTTGTACAGTGATTTGGCCCCTCTCTCTTTTGTATATCTATTGCATAGTGTTTGCCTGTGATTTTCAAGACACTAA